GGTTTGGAAAAATCAATATCCTTTTTTTCTTCATGACTCAATTCTTTTGAGAATAAGTTGTTTTGATAATATTGAATTAACTTTGCAAAAATATTTTAGAAAATGTATAATTTAGATCAGGAACTTTTAAATAAATTTATAGCAGACGGGCTTTATGAAGATATTCATGAAGGTGACCATACCTCATTAGCGTGCATACCTACAGATGACAGAAGTCATGCAAGACTTTTGGTCAAAGCAGAAGGTGTAATCGCAGGAGTTGCGATAGCCGAAGCCATATTCAAACATGTAGATCCAACTTCTATAATAGATATAAAAATAAAAGATGGCGAAGATGTCAAATATGGAGATGTAGCTTTTTATATTGAGTGTAATTCGCAAGCTTTGCTTAAAGCAGAAAGATTGGTGCTCAATACTATGCAGAGGCTCAGCGGTATTGCTACATTAAGTTCTAGATTTGCTTTTGAAGTGGAAGGCTTGCCAGTCAAGATATTAGATACTAGAAAGACGACACCTTTGATGCGTTTTCTAGAAAAATGGGCTGTAAGAGTAGGTGGTTGTGACAATTATCGGACAGGACTATATGACTGGATCATGATCAAAGACAATCATGTGGATGCGTGTGGATCTCATACGGAGGCCATCACCAAAGTGCATCAATATCTCAAAGACAATAATCTAGATCTCGATATCACCGTCGAAGTAAGAAACCTAGTAGAACTTCATGAAGTATTGGATAAAGGTGGTATCACTCGTATCATGATGGACAATTTTGAATTGCCGATCCTAAGAGAAGCAGTAGCCCATGTGGATGGTAGATTTGAAACAGAAGCATCAGGTGGAGTGACATTACATACAGTGCGTAAGATTGCTGAGTCTGGGGTAGATTATATCTCTGTAGGTGCTTTGACGCATTCTGCTGGCACGCTTGACCTCAGCTTAAAAGTGATCAAAGACTAAGGTTATGAGTAAACTGGAACGGATATTACATTATTTTCCAGAGACTAGTCTCCCTGTATTAGTTTCAGAAGATCATCTCAGTGAGTATGAAGCAGAAAGTGATCCATTTCCTCAGTCATTTATA